ACTACTACTACTACTACTACTTCGCTGCTGCTGCTGCTACTGACTGGTACTACAAATAAGAAGAAGAAGGCGACGACGACTACGACAACTAGTGCTGCTGCTATGTGAGTACTAGTCTACCCTACCGCGGTTCGTTCTTTGAATGACAAGGTGTCCTGGCTGCCCTGCTGGCTTTCCTCGAGGCTGATGAGCGTTTAGGGGTTTAGGTTTCAGGGTGAATGCAAGCCTGCGGGATAGAGAGAGAGAGCGAGAGAGAGAGAGAGAGAGAGAGAGAGAGAGAGATGCTTTGGTGTTTGTGTTGATCTGGGGTTTTTTCCTAGGTAGCATTAGGGAGCCCCTTAAAGGGGACCCTTCCTAACCCCACTTATGGCTCTCTTACAAGGGACCTCATTGAGAGGGTCTATGTCAAGGGTCCCCCTAATCCCAACTCCCAGTTTTGGCCTGTAGGATTTTACTGGCTTTACTCGTTTGGGAGTCGGGAGCCCCGCACCGTCGACCACGGGAGAGAAAAAAAACGTCACTGCCCTGCCAAACAAGCGCAATCAAGCGCATCTTGTGTTCTGCGGAACCTCCTCTACGTTCAAAGAAAACCAACTCTTCATCGTTTGTTAAGTGCCAGGGTTCAGAAAGTTTAAACGAATCAATCGTCATGCCTGCTAGCATCCGCCGAGTCCTTTGCTTCAAAAAATTCCGAGAAACTAGCAATCCAACTTGAAGGGGCGAGATGGGCGCCAACTGTAGTCCTAAACCACAGACGCCGGCAGGCAGTGTATCAGGCACGCGCAAATGTTTTATAGCTGAGTGTTCAGTCACTTTATGCGTAGCCTGGCCCTTCCAGTGGTTCCTCCGAAATCCGATCCTTGGTCTTGAGAGCAAACGTGCACCGCATCCTCCTGTGTGCTTCACAACACGCTCAAGGCCCGTGGCGATGATGCAATGGCGCCTTGGCAGACTTTGGAGGCAGTTGCTCCACTGGTGTCGAGGGTGTCACCTAGGCGGCCACTTATGTCAGACTGCCGGCTTCCACAGCTCGAGCCAAGCATGCTTGCCCACAGAGATGTCGCAAAGGATGGCAGCATGGCTTTGTCAGAGCCATCATCGTGGTGGAATGTCTGGGCCAAACCAGCAGATGAGGTTTTGCTTCTTTGCTGATAGAAAGTCTTCGCATTTCAGTTGGCTTGCGCAGTCCTGATCTGTCCGCCCGGTGCGATTATAGTAGGCTAGCTGACAGGGTCTCATGCAAATCCCGACACTGGCAGAAGCTGAGAGCCTCCAAGGTCTGCAACCTCCTTTGCGACCTTCCTGCTGCTTTGCACTCTGGGCCTCACGCGTGCCATGCTAGGACTCGCCTTGTGGCTCGGCATGTTTCCCTTTTTGATGGTTTCGATTGTCGTTTAGATGTCGGTTTTAGTCGAGGGTAGCATTTCGAGCACACAAGGCCACATCAAGTCTGAAAAACAGGATACCTAGCTAGAAAGCCAAGTTCGCCAACCGATACTGACAGACTGGACAGCGAAGATGTTTCGTTGTTTCAAGAAGCCTGTTGGAAGGAGATGCTGTGCGCCAAGAGCCTAGCCGTGAGCGAAACAAAGCATGTCATTTGCCTTGCGAAACTCTGCCAAAACACGGCGGCTAGCATGGCTAGCATGGATCCCGGCTGAAGTTTAACGAGTTGGGCACAGCCTTTTTCACCGTCTTAGCCCCTCATTGTTTTCTAGCATGCTCGCAGCGAAATGCCATGCAACCCTGTAGAAAATCCTGAAAGCGCTCATACGCCACAGCATAGCTTCATAGTCAGAACAGCGAACCATATTCGAATGTACGTATCATGGTATATGATAATTAAAAGATAGTGGTTTACTGCATCATATTCACTACGGACTTTTCTGATGCCAGGTGGCCCTACGCTCAGAGGCTTCGCAGACCCGCTGTCGCCAAGACGTTGCTGCAGCGCTGACCTTGGTTCATGTTGGGGTGGAGTGGGGGGTGGGTGGGTGGGGGTTTGGAATTTGGGACAAGGCCTTTGGTCTCTTCAACCGTAGGCGATACCTATCTAGGGAATGTAGCGTGACGAAAGGGGATAAGCAAAGCCAGCCGAACAGAGTTATAGATGCATGGACATGCGTGTTCGAGCATGTAAAGCCCCATGTAGAGAGAGAGAGAGAGAGAGAGATGGGCAACAATTAAAACAGATACATCAGTAGACTGCTAAATAGAGATACACGGCCATGTGCGCAGACGGATGGTATGCCCTGCTTTACTATATTTGAGCCAGGTTCAAGACATGACTATTAGGACTATTATCTTTGTCATTATGTTGTTTGCTATTCTTCTTCCTGGCATGTTTGTTATTGTTGTTTTTGCAGTTGTTGCAATTTTTGCTGTTATTGTTATATTACTCTGATGTGCTCTTAGCATTACAGTTTCTGACGCATCTATAGGTCTGCTGGTACCCCTCGTGCATCACCAAGCACACCGCCAGCGCTGACAGAGCAGGAAGGGACTTTGCGTCATTGTTCCTGCTGATTGGCGTCACTTGCCTCATGGATTCTTGCGAGGAAACAAACGAGATACTGTAGTCACGAACTAACTCTGACGTAGGGTCCTTGATGGCCCGAGTAACTGAGCCCGGACTGCCAGTACGGCGCGCGCTCTCTTTAGGCGATTTAGTCACGAACGAAGGGTGATCGGAGCATACAACTATAATAGTGTACTCACTTAATTTCCTTTGCAATGTAGTCAGTGTGGATTTACTTAGACATCCTCAGACCGTTCATGATTCACGATGCCCCCAAGCCCAAGCTTGACCGGTGGTCCCTCTGTGAGGAGGAGCCGTCCACCTCACCCAAGCCCCGGCGTGCGAGAAAGCCGCTGCTTTCCGGACGTGCCAGCAGCTGCAATTTTAGGTTCAGGGCTTTGTATGGCATTGAAGCAGAAGAGACGTGAAGAACGTCCCGTCGTCTTGACAGTTCAACTGAGTGATAGCACGTTTTGTTTGCTGACCTCTCATGTAGTTTGGGAGTCCGACCTCGAGTAGTCCCAGATCAGCCGTTGCAAACTTTGCGGCAGCTGAAGGATCAGGGCAATGTGCGCTGCAGCGCCTGCTCAAAAAAGAAAGGGCTTTATTTGCGGGCTTGAGGCCCATACAGAGTCACAGTCATGGGGTTTGGTGTTCAGAGATTCCGATTTAGGCCGCAAGCACCTGAGCGCAGGGCGAACTTCCACTCCTTCCATTCCTTTGGCTTTGGCAGCTAGTGGACAGCGCATGATCATTTGGCATAGGTTCTAGGTCAGCTGCGCCGAGCTGTCAAAGCTTCGCCAAGTCTTACCGAACGAGGTGCTTTGGAACCGTCGCCGGACGAGGCCATCGCTGCTGTGGAGGCCCAGGGTGAGCAATGGTCTCGACCGGGTTGGTGAGGTTGTGGGTTATTACTTGCGTTTCAAGCCACTTTCAAGCCTCCTGGACACCGTTGGCCCACAGGCTCTGGCCGAACAAGGAACATCGTTCAGAGCATTCAAAGAAGACCAAGTGGTTCTCGGGACGATAGCGCGAAGGTGCCGAACAGCTGCAAAGGTCAAAACACGTGAAAGATTCTTCAGCATCGGGGCTTGGCTAAGGTTCGGGGCGCGGCAGGGAGGTGAAGACTTGGCGACATATCTTCCGAGCCGTAAACATACAAAGTGTCGTCGGCGGATTTTCCGGGTAGAAAGGTGCAGAAGGCAACATACTTTCGGGGCGGGGTGTATTTGTCTGAAGGCTTTTCGGACTGCTTGTTGTTACAACTTGATTGAATTTCATCTGCAGGCAGCCAGCACATGCTCTAGCACGTGTTCGGAGGGGCTTCAGTCTCCGGGTGACCCGTCACACTTGCCACAGTCATTACAAGCTACATGAAGAAGCCTGCCGGAAGGATGATCTGCAGCCCTCGCCTACGGCTCCCTCGCAGCAGAGAGAACCGTGACGTCACACAGGGGGCTGTTGATAGAGTCTATAGTCCAGACCTAAATGGCATCATGCTTCTAGGGAGGCTGCCTTCACAGGCGCCTCCACGAGGTATGCAACTAAGCCTTAGGCCTAAACAGTCACACATGTCAGGCGTTGGTAATTCGACTTGGTTTAGGAGCAGATGGTGGCCATAGTCTCTATAGTCGCTTCTGGACCGGCAAAGCACTCATCTGTCCCATTCGCGCAATGTGAACCCGCAGGCAAATGTCTTCAAGCAAGAAACAAAGTGCAGAGCTTCATGTCACACTGGCCGAATCAATAGACTGTGACCGCGACGGGCATCTGTAGAAAAAAGTTATGACTGACCTGTTTTCTCATCATGTCAATCTAGAGATTCAGACCTTTCGCCGCTATTCTGACATGGCGCTGCTCTCCCGGCTCTTGGCTACGCCATCCCGCCTGGGCCTGCGTCATGCGGTGACCGTTCCTGTCAGGCGCTTTTGGGCTCTTGGCCTTGCTGCCATCAGCTATGCAACACTTACGTAACTTGTAATGACTTCCGACAAATTGAAGGTCGCATTTGCCCCCTGTCCGAAATCGAATGGTTAAGCTGCTTAAGCTGTTGGATGATTGCCACCTGGTGTTGACCGCGACTCTTGCAAGAAACACATGTCTCGCGTTGTCAGCCCGCAACCTAGATCGATGCTACTGTGACTTACAAGGTACAAGCTCAGGGTTGGCACGTCGACATGCCCCCCACCTTCATGCCTGAAGGCGTGGCTTTCGCAAGTATGAGCACAACCTGGAATGGCATCGGAGCCTGCCGCAGCTCTTCGAGCAAACGACCGTGTCTCTCAGAAGCAGTGAGCATGCTTCATGCACAGTACACAGCAAGGGCCGGTGTGGAAAAAAAAGCGGGGCATGGAAATTGAAGAGCATACCAACGAGCAGAGTATGTAAAGACTACGGTGACTATACTCAGGTATGTCGTTCGTGACGTCCTTCCTTTCATGCTGGTCCTGTACCTTCTTGGTTTCCAGGGCGAGAGAGTATGTGCAGAGTTACGATATGAAGCGGCTGTGAGCTGGAGGCGGAGTGCAGTTTTTGGCAATGTAGCTGGAAGTCTTGTGTTTCGGAGGAGGGCCGGGAACGTTGTGGATGCAAGACATGACCAGGGGCAGCCATTAAAACCATGTAACCCGAGCCTGAAGCCTTCAAAGACAACTATGGATCGCATATCAACGGACAATGGAGTGCGCCTTTGTCGGCATAGAGTAGTAATGAGTAGTAAAGGCTGTAAGACAGTGAGACAACATCAGGCACAGTCTAAGTTGTAAGAAGCAGAAAACCAAGCCGAAAGAAAGTGAGAGCAAGGTCGGAGGACAGCGTGCTTGTAGCATCGCCATACGAGTACGAGGCAGACGAGCGGGAGACCCCCTTTCTTCGGGCATCTCGATTGCCCAATGGAGTGTCGGCCTTGGGGGTTGGCCGGGCCTCAGGACGCCTGATTCAGAAAGGGCTGGCACTTTAGTTCAGGGAGGAGGATTCAATAGCTCTAGTATTGGAGCGGGTCTGACATGTGTTGGAGAACTTGAACCCCAGGAAGGACGAGGATTCGTGGGCCAAGCGATGAAGCTTGGCTGCTCCAACGGGTCATGGCCAGGGCTTCTTTCCACATTGCAAGTATAACAGCAGGGGTCCTGAACAATGTGCTCTGAAACCTGCGGTTTCGCGATAGGTCTCGACAAGGCTCGGAGGTCACATTCGGCAGAGATGTTCTTGACGGGCATCAAGGTCTCAAGGACCCCGTGCCCAATCACAGCCCCATGAAGCCCCAAAGATCCTCAGGAAGTATTCCATGTTCCACAGCCACGAGGAGATCCGAATTGCACAAGACATTGGGCAGTGTTGGGAATGGGAAAGACGAACGTGGAGGGCGACCCCTCTACCGAGAGACGCTGCCGGTGATGCTGAATTCGTTTTGCCATCTCGCGTCATTCCGCGTCCCGAGTGGCCCGTAAGCCGTAAGCCTTAAGCCGCACGTCGGGGCTTGGAAACCAAGAGCCTGGGGTTTGGAGCTTCGGCGTTTCGAGGGGTGGTTCAGGAAAGGCAGAGCCTTAGCCAGGAGCTTTGGGAGGAGATTCAGAATCATCGCCATCGAGGCCAGGTCCAGCTCTTCAACGAGGCCAGCCACGAGAGATTCTGCATGGAACCTGAGTTTCAGCACCCGTGTGGGTATGAAGCATGTTACATAAGTGCATATTTTTCCTATAAATCAATGCTTGGGCAAAGCTTTCGTCCATGCGATGCAGGTGCTGGAGGAGGGCAGACCTCGTTGCTTGTACTTTGACCTCGACGGTGATGCGGCATACAACCTTTCTCATGAAACTATTGTCGACACTCGGCCGGCATGGAAAGGAAGCTCTTCGGGCCAGAAGGAGGGACTGTAGAA